TAATTATTTAGATCAATTTTAGTTTTAATTAAAAAATTATTTATATATTCTTTAGTATTTTTAAAAAATTTTAATTATTATTTTATTAATTTCAATCAATAAAATTAAAAAATTATCTAAATAAATAAATAATTTGATGAAAAACAAATAAAAAACTTTAAAATTTTTTGAAAACTATTAAAAAATTTATATAAAAAGTTTTTAGTTCAGATTTTTTTTATTTTATTCACCTTATTTATTTGATTTTTTAATTTTTAAATTTAATAAATAAAATGTAAACAGTTTAAAATTGATTTGATTTGATTTTTAATTAAATAAACTTAAAATCCAATTAAACTCTACTATAATTACAATTACTTTAATTTTTAATTTTTAATTTTTTTTAGTTGCAAATTTGTTGGCTTACTCCTAGTTTTTCCTAGATGCTCTCTAACCCGACCCTCGTTAGATAAACCCTTCTTACACTCACCCCTTCAGCTTCTTGCGGACTGTCCTCTTTCTTCTCATCTCTCCATGTCTATATAAACTTCCAGAAACTCTCAATTACCAACTCACTTGTTTTCGCTCTCAAGGAATTGTAAGGTTATGCTCCTTGCAGTTTAGTAAATTCAGCCACTAACATGCATATAACTTATACCAAACCAATTCCAAATTTTCACTCATGCAGTTTCTGATCACAAATGGAGTGCAAGCAAACTTTTAAAATTTTCTGCAAGGCAGGACTTGAATTTGCCCTCACAATAAGAGATGGCGAGGTCGTCCTTGCTCCATCTAATATATTAGATAAGAATCAGGTATTTTTTAGCTACCATTTAGTTCATTTTGTTTCTTCCAATATCCTCAATCTTATATGGGAAAAAAAATATCTTTAATCATATATGTTTTTGTCTGTTTTTAGTCACAGTGGAGTTTGGTTTTCTTGATATTTGTAGCATTGGTACAAAATTGATAAGATCCACAAAAAGGATGATGAGGATTTCCCAGCGTTTGTTTTAGTAAACCAAGCCACGGGTCAATCCTTGCGTAATGCCTGTAGATGCGGTGAATCTGTAAGATATTCACTATAATCGTCATTTGGAACATGTTCTGTATCATTTTGATTTTGCATATATCAAAAGCATTGATGTCTTGATTTCAGTTTTTATTTTTATTCTTGGATTATTCTTGTTTTAATTGTAGTTGGTAACCCTTCTTTTGGTTCTTATATGCACAACCTAGAAGGTGTCTTTACTTCTTATAGAATGTATATATAAATTATGGATGGATCAATCAAAATTTTGCTGAGGAAGATATATATATATACCTCAATTTGGCCTAGGGAGAGAAAGTGAGATACACAGGAATAAGGATGGTGACAGTTTGCAGAAGAGAAGGATCTAGCAGTGGAAATCTGACTGTCTTGGTCATGCAATTGAAACAATCTGGCGAGACTGGGAGCACATGCAATGGATACAATATATGAGACACCAACCCCAATTTTGAAATTACTAGATTAACTTTAATAATTAGTACCAGAATGATCTCTTTAATTTTTTAAATAATGAATAAATAAATTACTTTGAAACCAAATTAAAAAGTTTTTTTATAACACATAATAAGTGATTCAACGTGAAAAGGAAAGAGGTAAGGAAGGGGTACTGTAGAACTCAAATACTGTAGAATCAATACAAATTAGTAGCAAGTACCTCACCCAAAAAAAAACTAAAAAAGGGGTTAAGTATTAAAAGGTCAAAAAAAAAGTTTTACAGGTGTGACTGTATAATAAAAGGGTTATTTGACTTATAAATTTATTAAAGAATTTT